AGAAGCCTCTGTAGTCCTTTTGGCCTGACCATAAGGCAACGTTCATTAGTATGAAGAGAGGAGAATCCACGTGTTCTTTACACACAAAGCAGCTACATAACCTGAGCAAAAGTAGGAGGAAAGTTGGCACAAAATTGAGGCTGGAAACCATTCATACAGAACATTTCTGATTAAACACAATATACAGTGGTTGCTAATATCTGTAAATACTTATTTCTATTTTAGGTTTACTCCTAAATGTTGAATACTGCAAAAACACCAGAGATATATACTATTCTAAAAGAATTGCTCTTATTATAGAATCTTATCTTTACTCTTTCATATAAAGACAGACTATGCCATACTTCAGCTACTATAATTTATCTCAAAATCGATTTCAGTGATGTTTCTTTCTGTACAAACTTGTACTAAAAGACATTGCAGATGTTTGCAAGTTTAGCTTATTATGCTTCAACACTCTAATTACTGAGCTGCAGGAGGCTGAGGCTTATATATGTGGTATAAGATCCTATGTGGTTATAACAATTTAAATTATATTTAAACAGATGTGTTAATAGCTTATGATGGGTTTTAAAGGTAAAAATAATAAAGAAACCAGGAAGAAAATCTTTATGTTAGCATATTTTTAGTATTGATTCATGTTCACTTAGTTTGGGTCCATAAAGGGAAAATTCTAGACCTATTCAGTGGAAGAATGATAATTTGAAAATGTGTCAGCCACAGAAATTCATTAGAAGCCCACTGGACAGAATATAGCGGCTGTGATAGCATACAAAAACAAATATAATTGAACTGGGTGCTTGTTAGTCACTCTGACAACATCAGTCTAGTGCATGAATGTAAGACTATCAAGGCAGGCTGTGCAGTTTATGGGGAAAATGAATACTTTTCTGAAAATCTGACAGCAATGTTTGTATTTAAGTAGTCTCTTCTCAATGGTTGGCCTGATATTTCCTGTCTGTATCACACTATCTTATCTTTCCTCTAATATTACCAGTTATGTTTGGCCAGCTCATGACATCTAAGACTTTCCAAGGCAAGCTTCTATTTTCAGATGGTCCAACTATACTCTTGATTTTTTTTTCTCAGTAAAAATTATTTGACTGCTTTTATACATGTTCTTCTTGGATATTTAGCTTGTTTCAGTGATACAGTAATACTGGGAAGCAGATGGGACTTCTCTCCTGGTATCTTGCCATCCTGACAGAATGATGGATGTGAGCACTTGAAAATCTTTATCTTATTCTACTTTGCTCTTAGATATTTTCTAGCTCGCACTTGGTAACATAGCTTGGCTGATGCTGTGTATGGTTTTTGTGTGCTCTATGCCTCCATGAGGATGAACATCTCATATACTTCATTTACTGAATCTCAACATTTCTTGTTCATTTGCCCATACTTATACACTGCGGAGTACCTATCTTAGAGTAGAAAAATGCTTTTTTTCTTATCTTGAACACACTAACAAAATTTGTTGCATACCCGAACTGTTATAAAGCATTCCTTCTCAGTTGACTTCATCATTGTTTTGCTGATGATAGCAACTCTTATACAGAAGCAACGGCTGACAGAGATCTGCTATTGGTCCTCCCTCACTCATGTTATGTAATAACATATTGGTCTTTGTACTGAAGCTTGAGCTATTAGATCATCTCATCATAGTGAATTAAAAATAAACAAACCCCATAAGCTGGAGTCTGCATCAAGCTCATGAGTTAACCAGGGTCAGACACATCGCTGCGATGTGATGCAGGTCCAGAAATGACCAGGCCCAGACCTCCAGCCTGACTCATGTTTCGTGGATCTAACAGCAGCCTGTTGAGGTCACTGAAGAAGTAAAGAACATAAAGCCATCTTTTCATAGTGGTACATGCAACCTGAATTATAGCCCCAAACCAGCAGGAGTCTCATGTGAAGCACTGCTTTATCTAGTTTTTATTTAGATTTTCTCCTTTGGCCTTTTTAGGCGGGCATTAAGATTGTGTTTGTTGTCAAATACAATTTATGCCATACTGTTACAAAATCCATATGGCAGATTCTATTCATAGTGCAATAGCAACTGTGCTTATTGTTTGACATGAACCTATAAGTAAGTAATGTGAATTATTTTTGTAGAAAACTTTTGGTATTAACAGTGTTTCAGAGAAAATTTGAGAACTAAAAAAAGGGTGCAATTCAATGAGTGGTAGTTTTACACTTAAGTAGGAAGAATCAGTTGTGCAAAACCCAGAGATACACTGTATATGAGATATACAGCAGTGAATTTTCAGAAAAGGATGTGCAATTAACAATGGACATAAGTCAGACAGGAATAAAAAAATAATGCTAATGTTAATAAGGCAAATTTCACTTTTTTTTTTTTTTTGGTAATAAAGGTATCATATGCAAGACACAGAAATTAATTCCTCTTTTCTATTTAGTGCTGGTAAGACATTAAATGTGTCTAGCTGGGAGCATAACAATTCCAGAGAGATATGGATCACAGGAAATAACTGGACTGAATTCTCAGATTTTAACTATACACATAAAATAATCAGATGTCTAAAAAAAATAAACTGTGAAAAAAGGTCGAAGAAATTGGGGGTGGTTAGACTACAGAACACAAGACACAAGAATTGATCACCCTTCTAGGAGACAAAAGGTATTTTAACAGGGGAATCTAATAAATAATTCACCTTATCCACTCTGTACAGGACAAGATATTCTGGGGCTACAATACACAAAGCCAATTTGAATGATGTGACAAAAAATTTGTTATAACAAAATCACAATAAAATAATACTTGATCAACCAAGTTGCTGTGCTTGTGAGCTCACTATTGCCTATGTCCTTCAGTATGTAGTGGTAATCGCAACCAAGTAATTCTAGAGACAAACTGGACAAACAGCTGTCAGGAATAACACAGGTGCCACCGACGCTATCTTAGGGAGAGGAACAGATAGGTGACTCTTCGAGGTTGTCAAGTACTATTTTCTATGAGTCTATGAATAATGCAATCCACAATAACAATCCTTTCAACTTCTGCTGATATACGTGTCACTTACATTTCTCTGCTATTCACTTGACCTAAGTTGCATTCTCAGCGATCAATAACTACATATAGTCCAAGACGGTGAGAAAGAGTGGTTTTCTCTGTTCAGTAACATTTCTCAAAGTTTGCATTAGGCATCATATATTAAAAACAGTTTTGCTCTTGTGAAATTTAGCTTATTTCAGTTCTACTCACTTGCTAACCCATTTTCAGTACTTTATCTATTTGCATAGACATATACATTTTGTCTTGCTTTTCAAGAATTACCATGAATGCTACCTAATATAAGAATTAAATAATTTTAACAAGTCTGAATTCCAATTTCTTTTTTTTTTTATTTGCTTTGTCTTATTACTTACTTTAATGAAATTGAGACAAGTATTTTGTACATTTCTGTGGGCTATAAATTTGACAGAGATCTTACTCCTTCAAAAAATTATCTTAAGAGGCTGAAGGAAACATATTGTCTATTGGCACCACTTTTTCGTACCTCTCATATTTCTATTATGTGAAATAAATCATAAGGTTAATATGATTAAATTCATGTATTCACAGGTTTTAAATGAAAACAGAGTTTTCTGGTTGCCTATAGAGCCTGAAATGTTAGACTATTTTCCTTGGCTATTCTGCAAGTAGATTACAGTGTCCTTATTAGTATTATAATCTTGCCACTGTATAATTTCAGTGCAACTTTTCTTGAGTAAAAATCTGTTTTCTTCTCTTGAGTAATGCTAAAGAATTCTTTGAAGTCTGGCACATTCACAGATGTCCCACTATTTGGCATTCATTTTCCTGTTTCTGTGCTGTGCCTTTACACATATTGTTCCTTTAAGTTTTAGCATAAATATTGTCTTTTGACAGTGTCACAGATTATGTCCCCCTGTGCAGGGCATTTCCACTATCATGATGTTTTTCCTTGATTATAGAATTACAAACAATATTATGTAAAATTTCATCAAGAAAATATAGAACCATCTTAAGCTGTGGCAGAATCTTGTTAAGACTGAAGTGCAAAGATCAAGTAAATTGACAGAGCTTTAATTTCTTGGATTTACAGTGTGTATGTAGTACTTTCTATTAAAACACTTTCTATAGCATTTTGAAACACTGGATTGCAGAATGAGTTGTATATGGATTCTTGTAATGTACAAGCTAAATGGAGTTTTTTTTTTTATTTGATTGTTTTAGAACAGCCAGAGCTAGCCATTGGAGGGCACGTTTCTATGTTAATTAGACTACAGTTGTGTATGAGTTATAAACCAAATTTGTGAACTACTTGATCTGTGAAACTTCAACCTTATTATGGATATCACTTCTACTTGTGTTTGAAATTGTAAAAGATTACATACATAGTAAACGACTACAGGGCAGCAAACAGGACTGATTTCTCTCCTATATGCAGCATGGATAGCAGATGAAATTAGCGGAAACCATGGAGAAACACAAGCGGGAAATGCAGTTCCCTGTATTCACATGATTTAGTCTAAATGTGAATATCAACCTATGGCCAGAACTAAGAAGATATTTGGGATATTTTTCATTTTATTATTTAAATGTACCCTGAAGACATAAGGAATGCCACTGTTCTTTTGAACAGTTTTCAATTTCTGAATACTAACAGTGAAGGTTACTTAGAGTTCTTACCAAGTCATTATTTTTCCCTTTTTTTTTTTTTTTTTAAGATCTTAATAATGACAACCTAAATTTAGTGTTATGGCTCCTCAGAAACTACTAGGAACAGCACGAGTATCTTCTTTAAACCTGGGAAGGTAGAAGATCCTGAAAAGTAATTTTAGTTTGAATGTAAGTAGATTTATGTAAATTGCTGTCAGTTATCTATGTCTTTATTTTACTAGAAAAATAACATGATAGATAAACTGTTGTCAACCATTCTTCATGGAGACTTACAATGCAAATATTATTCAGAACGGAGGCAAACAAACCACTTATGAATAAGCATAAGTCTTACCACGCCAATGGAAAAGTAGTTGTTGATGATGTTGTAAGGCACTGGGTCTCCTTTCTCATCTTTATCGTTGGGTATTACTTCAAATTTCCATCTGTCCAGCAAAATTTCTGTACTATTCTCAATGTCTTTTAAGATCTTCATCAAATTCTCACCTTCATAACCTAGCAAAAGGTGAAGATGGTAATTTTGATCAGGCATGATAAAAGTTTCATTTGTTTTTCTTTCTTGGCGACTGGAAAGATGAAAACCATGCATATAAAACCTGCAAAGTAGGACTATGTCCTCAAGTACTGGCAATTTTCCAGTATCTGTCATTAAAGTAATACAAATACAGAGATGACTTTTACACTGTAAACTTAGATTAACACTGCAGATTTCACTCGGCATTTGATTTAAACTGACACTGGAGAAAATAATTTGATCTTCTAAACTTGCCATTTTGTGAAATTTTCAAAATGATTATACCAGTTATCCAAATGCTTAAAGTCGTAATTTGTATAAAATTCTCAATATAAAATGAACCTTAATATTTAATATCTTTAATTTCAAAATTTATGCAAAGAAAGTTATATAAATGTCTAATGTGTGTCTAATTTGTGCCTAATCAAAGGCTGACAATAGTGTAAAAAGTGAAAAGCTATTTACTGTGGGCCATAATGTTTTCAACATGCGTAACATAAAAATTAATATAAAAAATGCAAAATGTGAAATCCATTCACAACTGATAAGATGCCTATTCAGCACAATAGCTATGATTTTCCATATTTTAATAACCTCTTCATGAACCTCATACTGCTCTATATCTTATTCTTATTTGCCAAGAAGCACACAAATTTTAAGTAGTTCACTGCACTACTTAAATGTTATTATCTACTGTAGTATACTGCATATCCAAAATGGGTAAAAAATTATTGCTTACAATCTTTTGAGTATAATAAGTAAGCCAAAGTACATGTATGCACATAGAAAGGGTAAATATTATCAAATTTAAATGCTATTCAGACAAAACAGGTCTGTGGTAAGATTTGTGAATTCATTTCTTCTTCAAAGCAGGAATAAATGTCCACATTCAAGCAATATACACTTTTGGGTTCATTAGACACCTTAATAAATTACAGACTCATCTTTAGGCATAACATATGTATCTGGTGGAGGGAAAAATTAGGACAAATGTCAGGAGTTCTTCTCATAGCTAGTGGTTCAGCCAAAATTCAGCATTTCCAAAGAAGAAAATGAAAACATTTAAGGTCTCCTTGTATGAAACTCACTGCTAATGTACTGCTTTATGGTTGTATTATTGCATAATACATTTTTATTAGTTAATTTTATTAGTTAATTACTGTCACCACCACACAAGTGCACGATGCATATGTGCACGATGCATGTATGCACAATTCCTTTTGTCTACATGCTAGAGATCATTCACTAGTAATCTAGTTTCTTAAAGCCCTATCTGTTCTTCCTCCTCTCCTATCAAAGTTCCAGAAAATCTGTGTTATGGCACCAGAAAGTAACTAGGCAAAGAATGATGAAAGACAGAACGTTTTCTCCATTACATCACCTAGTTTTCAACTGTTAATTTTCAGTTCAGACAGAATAAATCAAAACAGAAGTAAATAGGAGTGAATGGAAGTACAGGTTCTGAGAAATGTAATTAAATTAATAATTGTCTATTGTTGTTCATTTCCATCTTCTCTTGCAGAAAGTTTGAATATACTAGCAAAGGTGTACATATTTTATTTGTTTCACATCATTGAGGTACCTATGCCACAGTGACAGAGAAAAGAATCAAGTAACATGACAAGACCTAATACAAATATAAAATAAATAAAAAATATATCTGCAAACTTCCACTGCAATTACTCAGACCCCCTCAGCATGCAAAGATGACAAGCAACCACAATTAATCTGAGTTGTAAACAAACAGATGAGTAAAAAAAAATGTTTTTAGCTAAAATTTTTGCTAAAAGCTTGTGAGATTAGAAGAGAAAAATATGATTAGTTTTTCAGATTCAGATGAACAGAGTTAAAAACTGATCCAGATGACAGAGTAAACGTGTTGCAAGTTGATGGTAATAATGCTAGGAATTTTGATCTTGCAGTTTTCTAACTTGCTGAAGTGTTGTGTTTTGCCAAGAGAAAAGGAAGAATACAAGAGCAGGTAAATGCAGCTCATGATTCACCTGTACAGAAGGCAAAAATCAGGTAGGACCAAGATACAGGTAGCAGGGATTGCGGTAACTGGCCCACAGACAGAATGTGAGACCATCTCAGGTATTCTTATAACCTGTAAATTCACAGACACTTTTCATGCATATCTTATAGATATTGCAGCATAGCTGATAAGTGCCTGACAGCCAACATCTGACATTCTCTATGAGGAAGGAAGGTATGTATATAGCAGGAAAAAAAATATTAAATACTGAGAGGCGGGTATACCTAGAACTGGAGCAAAGATAAGGGAATTTGATACTCTGGAGAATTTAGAAATTTTCAACCTGTGGAGAACAATTTGAAGATATATAGACCTACTATGAAAGTAGTAGACCTATGAATGTAGGTCTATATCATCAAGAATCATAATTAAACACACTGACCACTAACTTTCCATAGTGACAGAAAAGACATTTTTTATTATCAGAGACATTTGATCAAGGCATCTAGGCAGGTACTAGGACTTCATTTTGAGTTTCTGAAGAGAATGTCATTCAGAATTACATCCTGAAAAAGAATCCCAGAAAAAGTGTTTGTTTGTTTGTTTTAACAATTTGACATAATATTTTAGTGTTAGGCTTATGAGTACTATCATTTATCTCAAAGGATCAGTGCTTGATTTTATTCATTACTGAAATTTCACAAAGTGAAACAGAAATCAAACTATGCAATCTTTTAAATTAGTAGCAAAACATGTCAGACATGCAGTCTGACCATGAACTGACAAGTCTCCACAGACTATTTTGATTGGAATATGTTTTTTAACACTGATACTAAAGGATCCTACTATTGACAGTAAAACACTGCGCTCTGTTGCTGCAGAACTCTTTGATGAGACACCCAGTTGTTTACAGATATCTGCTCCACTGAATGCTTTTGCTTTACATTCATTTCTCAAACACATATCAAGTTCTTTAAAAGTTTTTACCTCCTTCCATCAACAATAGATAAATGATCTAGGAAATTTTGCTATGAGAAATGATCACCTGACTAGAAATCAGTAGTAGAGAGAAAACACAGAAAAGAGGGGCTGATAGCTGGGAGAGGTGAAAGGCCAATATAGAGAAGACTGAGGTTCTCAATGCCGCCTTTGCCTCATTCTTCACCAGCAAGGTCTTCCAAGCTTCTGTGCTCAGAGGCAGGGTTAAAAAAGAATCATCTGCAGATGAGACTGAGAAAGGGATTACTTTTGAGAACTCCACCTATACAGATTCACATGACGTGATGGACTACAGAGGTTTTGATGCCCTTGAAAGACATATGTTGAACTGGTCTTCAAAAAGGCTAACAGAACAAGCCAGAAAATTGCAGGCCAGTTAGCCTCATTTTCATCTCTGAAAAATTAATGGAGTTAAACTGGGTGGACACAGTTTTAGAAATGTGAAAGCAAAAGCTGAACACATGATGGATTTACTGGAATTAAATCATGCCTGACACACATTATTTCCTTCCATGATAAAAAAGACTGTGTTTGTGGGGAAAACAGTAGATATTAATTATCTCAATTTCAGCAAGGGTGTTCAACATCTTTCCCTCAACATATCTGCATCCAAATTGGGATGTTACTGTCTGGATGGGTCAGAAACTAGGTCAGTAGATACCTGATTGGATGATCAAGTTCAGATAGTACAGGGGACCTAGTAACAGCCTGTCAAAAACAATGAAGAAGACAGAGACAGTTTCTTCAGAGCATTGCATCATGGCATGGTAAGAGACAAGGAGTGCATCACTGAAATAAGAAAAATTTGCGCCAGATACAAGGAAAAAAAAACACTTCCTGCGATCACCTCCAGCCTGAATTATTCTACCATTCTACCTGATGAGTTGTCAAGAAAGTGATGCTTGGCTGATCTGATTTTCTCCAAGACTACGTCACCAGCCAAGGCAGAGAAAAGGGGATCCTGAAATAATTTGACAGGATATTATTATTATCAACGAAGTTCTATGATAGGAAAACTACTGAGAATTTGCTAAAGAACTATCTGATAGCAAAGCAGGAATTAGGAGAAGATGATGAGATAGAAGAGAGTAGAGGTTTGCACGCAAAGGCCAAGAAGTTAGAAATAAACTGCTGAGTTGCAAGTAAACAATGACTGGACTGAAATGACCAACTGTGAGCTGGGAGAACAGGCTGACATGCTTTCACCAGAGACTGAGTCTTCTCTAAGACTTCCTCCTTTTGTTTGTCTTTTTCAAGTTATCCTACTCTTCTCTTTTTTTTTTTTTTCATAATGTAATGTAAATCCTGGATGAAAATAAGCTATGGGAGAAGCTGAGAGCTAGGGTCCATGCATCCAGGAAAAGGATGCAAAGGATATTAAGAGTTTGTCTTTATATATACTCTTTTTTAAAGCATTCTTTTTCTCCTCATTGCCTGATAAATGACACCATAGCACTTATTGTCCAGAATCCTCTGCAGGAGAAGAGAAGGAAAGTGGATCAAAGGAACTAGTCTGAGGCTGAAACATATTTTTCATTCAATATTTATGAATATTAAAAAAAGAGGAAACCATTCCAAATCCATTATTAGCTGTTTTCTGTAACCCTTTCAGAACAGCTCCAATTAAAATACATTTAAGGATACATCTTTTCTGATTTATTGATCAAAGAAATAACTGCAAAAAAAGATGGTAAAAAACAACAATTATTATATATATCACTTTCATTGCACCTTAGAGCTTTTTTTTGGTGCCAGTGAAAGCTACAGATAAAATATGAAGCGTGATTATCATCTTCAATATCTTTAAACATTTTGTTTAACATTTACAGTTAACTCATTCCAAAAAGATGAAAGGTATAGTGTTTCTTTACATACATCACAGAGGAAAAATTAAAATATTCAGAGTAGATTTTGATGGAAGTCATTTTTTTCTTTTTAATTATGTAATGAATGATATTTTAATTTGCTTTTACCTCCTCCCCATCTCAGACACCTTGCTAAATCATTACCAGTCCCAAGAGGCAGGATAGCAACTGGAGGATGCTTAAGCAAGTTTGCTTTCTCTGTAAATAAAGAACAAAAAATATGACTAAGAAACAAAAATCTAACTGCATAGTAACAATACAATTATTGTCTTAAGTTTTGTTTCAGTGAATGACAGAGACATGTCGATATGAGATTCTGCCACATTCTCCACAACAGGCCCTACAATCACTCCTCCCCTTGTCAGTATTCATCATTAGTTTATGTTATTGTCCTTATCACAAGAACTTCTGGAACCCACGACTGTGATATCTGGCATAAACAAAGATACTGAAAATCTTTTGAGACTGATCGTGCTGTATTCTCTCTTCTTCTCTGTTTTTCTTTTTCAGATGAATGCCAATTAAAATTAGTTAAGAACACAAATAAGGAGAAATCTTGTACCTTTTCATCTGAATAGTCTAATTTGTGTTTAACTCTGTATCTACAGAGATTCATGTCTACACATAAGTGCCATTACCAGGAATTCCTTGTAGCCAGCACTTAAAGTTTTGCCCATAAGAAATTAAATCTGATATTCAAAATGAGCACTGATTGATTAAGTCTCCAAGACCATATTTGGAGTTAATAACTAATATTTTTAATTTTATGTGCTTATAGTGACTTTTATCTCCTAACTATTCTCTTACAGCATTTCAAGTCAAACTCATCAACTCTATACAATCTCTACTGGTGGTGCAAATGTCACTTAGGCATAATCTTTCAAAAGTGTAATTTGTTCCTCAGTTAATAGAAATGGGTACTGTATCTAGTTTTAAGTCACACTTGAACAGTTAATTTGCTATTTTGTTACCAGAATAATGCACATTCTCAACATTTTCCAGTATGAGTTCATGCCCAATGGATGTGACAAGGATACCTTGTTATTTATTGTTTTCTGTCTTCAATTCTTTAGGAGGATTTGGCATTTACAAGTTTAATGGAAAATTTTAAGGCTTGCAACAAAAGAAAAAAAAAGGAAGTTTAAAAGTCTCATCAATTGCAGAGATAGAAATTTTGTTTTTTCCTCATGCTTTGCTCTCTGTCAAGATTGTTTTTAATTGGGAGCCAAGGGAAGAAATGATCAAACTGAGAAGTGTCTGTTTCACAAATAAGCTATGTTTTAAACTTTGCACCTACAACTTGTGCCAAAGATTCCTGTTTGCTAAAAGATAGCATTCAGAATCTATTTTCTGCACTAACAGAATTGTGGGATCTCACAAATCACTCCTTAGGTTCATACTATGAATATTGATGCAGAAGACAGACTTTGAGTCAACATGCAGTCATTTGTTCAATTAACATCATTAAAAAGGAAAGGTGACTGCATGGAACTTTAGTCCATCTCAACAAGAAGGCAAAGACACATCCCTTCCATGTTTAGGAAGTACACCAGATATTTACATACATTGATTTGTGATTCTGATTTGAGAACTACAGTCAATAGTTAAAGTTTGCAAAATAAATACATAAATACATAAATAAATAAAGATTAAAAATATACCTCTTGTACTATCCATTCCTCCATCACATCACCTTAACTTATTCTCTTTCTTCTTTTAGCCTCTATCTCCTTATTTTCCGTTGTCACACATTCCCAATTTAGTCTCTACAGATTTTCTAATGTCAGAAAAGCAATTGTGGTGCTAGAGATATTCTCCCCAATAAGCCTTAAGAAGTTCAAATTTGTAGTATCTTGATGTCTGGATCTTCCTAGTGATTTGACTTACACAGCACTTTATGGCCTAGTGCCTGAAAGAATTCAGAATCTGAACTGGTAAACAGGCCCCACAAGTAGCATACAGCTGTGAGATTTGCATGGCTCTCAGGATAGTCCTTTTGAAAAGACTATTATCCCATTATCCCTATTATGGGATAATGGAGCACATATAAAACCACAGACACTGGAAAAAGCTAATGAGTGAAGGTAAATGGTCTTGAAAAAATTAGATTTGATTCAGTTAGGGAATTGTCTTTGAACTGAAAATTAAAATAAACTGACTCAATATTTCTTGCTTTCTGGGAGTCCAGAGGATTCCCAGAAATAGAAAAAATGAGGTTACATAGGGATTTTTTATATACGGATTTTGAATATCCTTAATAATTTGGATATTCTTAATAATCCCACAAATTAATACATTTCAACAATCTAAATGAAAAAAATCATGTTTGAAATAGTTGGATCCACCTGTTGATAAATAAGGGAAAAGAGTAAAGTGAAAATCATGAATAACTGATCAAGCAAAACTATAGAAACAGTATTGATTACCTATGCAATCCAAAATCCAGCCCACTGTTCCATCTCCACCACATGCCAGTACTCTGAATTCAGGAACATCTCGGAAAAAATTTAACCTAAAATAGTAAATGAACATACTAGATTAACATAAATTCATTGTGTATTATGCTAACTTATTATGAATTAACACATTTTATAGTAAATATTAAATTGGCAAGTTTAGCATTTTAAGTAATAATCACCTCTATCCACGCATTCACTCTTTTAGATGGAAAAAAAATAAAATCCAACCAATGCATTATCAAATAAATTCAAAATGAAAACATTAACTTGAGGACTATTACTACACTGCTATCTGAAAAATTTTGAACCTGGCAGTTAATCCCAATTTTGATATTTCAACTCAACTCTTGCTTCAAACTATTGTCAGAAAACATTCTTAGGGTACCTAGTTATGAATGGATCTGTTGTCTTTCAAGTTAGAAAATGTCTAAGGTGGCTAAATATATCAGCCACAACATTTCATTAAAACATTCATTAGCCCACATAAAGAACAATTTACCAAGACCAGCATTTCAGGATAGCTATAGTAGGTAAACTACAAATTATCAGTGATATAAAGATATTAGTTAGCTTGGTAGATTTCTCCATTGTAGATGAGATTAAAGGGCAAAAAATGGACTTAGGGATCCACCCACATTACAGAAATTTCCTCTTAAATAGGAAAGGACTTCAGAAGTTCAACATTATGATTTACAGAAAAATTGCTGAATGGTATCCATCCATCCATCTTGGGTGGTATCTGCAATTTTTCCATCAATTTGATAATTATGATTGAAGTAATACATCACTCATATTGGAACAGGACTTACATTTGTGTGTAAATGGAAGTGAACAAAAGTGAAAAAGTTGCCTTAATGCATCACTACGTCAAAGCCAAGTTGCCTAAACCTTCATTTACAGATTTATACTGACAAGAGATAGACCTGGCAATTATCGAACTTCTGGAAAATTTCTGTAATCTTTGTCCATTTCTGAATGTAGAATGCTGTGTTTGATCAAGCAATTCCACTGCTACATGTATTCTGCTTAACTTGCCACTGAATCGCCTGAAGTTAGTCATCCAGAGGAAAGTACAAGGTTGAAAGACAAAGCAACTACATTGTTGAAATGGTTACTTCTTCACTGTAAGGACCATAGTGTCTTCATTTTACAAAAACAAACAAACAAACAAATAATAATAATAAAAAGAAAAAAAAACAAACAAGGAAACAAAACCTGACAAATATTTATTCAGCTGAGTATACGAATGAAATCTAGACCTGTGTTTTCCCTTCCTACCAAACACTACCTAAGCTGAGCTGGCCATGCAGCCACTGGACAAGGCACATAAACACTTTGTGCTCATTATGACAGAGTTATGGTTTGGTGTACCCTGTAATGACACTATTCATGAGACACTAATTACAATAAAACACTTCAATAAAATTAGTCTCAATAAATCCAGTTTATCATAACGTCAGACAAAATATTCCCTTCCTGGAATGGCATTTTAATGTGCAAAGACTGACTGGTAGATGGGTATCTAACTGTTGAAAATACTGTGTTCAGCTCATATTTTCTATGGATGCCAATTTCAAATCATAGGCTTGCTAAAAAAATATGATGACACACTTCAGGAAAGAAAAAAAAAAAAAAAAAAAAAAAAAAAGAGCCCAATCCTGCAGCGTGTGTTCACATGGCTACTGGGGACTCTATGATTATAGAGGATATTTTACTGGAATATGCACTTTGAGGTTAGAACTATGATAGGTACCCAATGCTGAAAACATTGTTCTATATCATATACTTTACACTCAAAAACACCAAGAATATACTCAGGTTTCCCTTAGCTAGCTGTTAGTTAAGATACATATTGATCTATTTTTACAGAAGTAAAAAAATCCAAATCATTTTGTTATAGATACTAAAGAATAACAAAGAGTCAAACTCATGATCCTTACATGAATTAAATTTACTTCATATGCATGACATCCCCAAAACAGCATCTTTGCACATTTTAGAGGGACATGTGCCTGTCACAAGAACGAACACAGGGAGCATTTCTGGGAAAAGTGAATCAACACAGGCTGTATAGTAGGTGGAGCAAAGATATTGGATGTCATAGATACAGCGAATTTCAGAGGCAACTTAAAAGGGAAGATCAAAAGCTTATTTTGAGGTGACTGAGAAAAGGGAACCAGATGAATAATGCAGAGAGGGCAGCAAACTAATGAACAGCAGAAAAGCTTTTAAGACAGATTTCGGACAATGGACTGCGACTGTGAAGCGTACTCAGCACTGAACAGCTAGAAAGGTTGAGAGAATTAATCTGTATCACAGCCTTAGCACTCCAACTGGTCATTACATATTTAAAATATTAATATAATATTGCAAAATTTAAAATATTGATAAATTCATTTAAAATATTGATAAAATTGAAAAGATTGTTATTGATACTGCAAAAACCACAGTATACATACTTATATATATCATATGAAAAATATTAGAAATATTCCTTTATTCCTTTATTAAATGAAGAATATTATTAAACAGATTATTAAAATATGTCTAAAAACAATATTTTGAGTTTTACACAACTGTTACTTTAATCATTTTACAGAATCAAGCAATCCACGATGGCATATTTTGCCTTTCTTTGGCAAAAAACTACCTCTTCAAAAGCAACACAACATAGGTCTCAAGGTTTTGTTCAGCAGAAAATAACCCAGCAGTTATTATGTTATAGAAAAATATTCTTGGTGTATACAACTTCCTAGAATACTCAGCAAATTCCAAATGTCTAACTGCAAAGAAGACAGGAATATACTCTAGCAATCAACTTTAATAATCAGGGAAAATAGTGTAATTTTCAAAATAGACCTATTGCTTTGTGGAGTTATAAAGGCCCAGGTGCTGTAGATTCCCAACTAAATTACAGAGTAAGTTGCAGGGATTCAACCTGCCTGTCTTGGGCATTTTTCAAGTGGATAGAATTTAAGATTTAAAAGGCCTGTTGATGTAAGCTTGTGGATGGAATTTAAAAATATGTGTATTTTTTTCAAATTAAATGTTTAAGAGAGTTGCAAAGAAATACAACTTCTGTGTGTATAATTCCTATTATGAAATAAAAATAACATAAATTAGACATTTAAAATAACAGACTTAAGGGAATGGGAGCCTTTTCAGAAGGACAAAGCCTCTGTGAAATGGTGACCTCTCTACAGAGTCCTGTGGGTCTGTGGCTCAAACACTATTCATCCAGCTTTTATTTACCTCTCTGTGAGGTGAACAATAACTGAATTTCAGATTCTTCAAGATCATTAAATCCACAATAACAGTTGTTGTCAGAAGTAGAAGGCTCCTATAGAGATATAACAACCAAACAGGGAAACTCTATTCAAGGCTAAAAACACAGGTGCTAGGCACAAATTACACAATGTATCAGCCTGGCAATTTTCATGTCACTTTGTTAACTGTGGCAGTCTGTAACTGTGGAGTACCTTTTATGCTTGCGTTCAGCTGCAGAGTTTACAGGGTTCCTCCAGCTCACACATATCTCTTTGCTCCCAGATAAAGAATGCCTAAACCATTAATTACTATAGCAATTCTAAAAGTGTACGGGTGCCCTTTGGCTGAGAGCTCCTTGATTTTCGGGCCTCACAGCAAGTCAGCTTCCGTTGTTGGAAAAGAATCAACATCAGGGATTCAGCTGCAACGCCATCTATTTGCATCGCTATGTATTTTTATATGTATTATGTTCATGAGTCTTGACTTACGACTCTGGAAACCTTAGCATGGCCATGCTAGGGAGGCTATGGGCAACACCCTTGCTCCTGCAGCTCTCCAGTAACCATCGCACCTATTACAAAACCAGGTGACACAATCACTTGAGTAACCAGGGAGTCAGCCTGCATTTATTACCATCTTTTTCAAAATATTTTTCTGCTTGACTATTATATATTGGAAAGTTTACTAAAATTGAGCAGTAACGGAGATACTAAGTTTTTGTTTGTTTCTTTCTTTCTTTTCTTTTAAGGGATGGATTTGAAAGTGGAATGTATCCTTTCCAGATTTCAAAGAAATTCGTATATGGGACTCGAATTATGGCTTAAAGCAAAGATTGCTTTAACCTAATTTTGGACTCAGATCTGCTAAGGAGCTCTTTATTGCGACACATTTCTATGAAAGATTGTGGTTATTCCAATGAAGAGGTACATTGTTAGATGTAGTGATTGAGCTGTTGCTATTTTCTCATAATACAGCTCTTTGCAAACCCCTCTGAGGCTTAGGATCTCACTGGTCTCCAAGTTCCCTCATTTCTCTCCCTGCTATCCTAAACAGACATATTCAACAGAAATGAAAGGAAAATGCTAATTCATATCAATCATAGATGTTTGGAAGTGTACGTAGGGAACTATTGAATGTTATCCTCTTGCTTGATGATGGCGTTTCATCAGAAAGACATAATCATAAATAAAGGACAAACATTAACTTATAGATTAAAATGGGTAGTTTGCCTGTACAAAAAAACATGCAAACACTACCCTTATACTATAGTTTAGTGATGTCTGGAATTATAGTTAAAAAAGAAAAAGGCTCAAATAGGCTCAGTTGAAACATATTACAATAATCATAAACAATTTTAAATAAATCTATACGCTTATCACTTTCAACTCAGTAATAGTAACTGGCATGGAGCATAGAGTGTATTTTCCCTTGTACTGTATGGTTGCCTATTGCTCTCTATTTCAGTCTGAATGCAACATAAGACAACGTTAAATAAATGTAACATTCTGCTTGACAAATCAGTATAACTGGCATTATAGAGATGAATGGGCGAGTCATCAGATGGATGGATGGGCAGCAGGTATTTATTAGATGATCCAGCTCTCACAGAAAAGAGAAACAAAGATTGGTAAATGAAACAGAGTGAAAATATGGTTGACTAAACTGCTCGCTTACTGGATAAAACATATACAGCCTACACAGAACTGCCACAAGGCAAGAAGTGATGATAAGAGATAAACTGAAAATTTAGGTTTACACTTTTCTGTGAAATTAATAAAAAGAGTACACCAAAACAAGCCTAATCATGTCTGTTTGAAAATTAATTAGAAATTTTTCAAGATGACACTGAAGTAAAACTATTTAGCTTCCTAATAGGAAGAGAAATTGAAAATATTTCCTAAAAAAAAACCCCACCCTATTCCCTATTCTGGTTCAAAGGATTCAAGTTTAAATGGTTTCAGCACTGTGTTTCTGTCTGCACTGAACACTGCCCTCTCGTGCTTCTGCCTTAAAATACATTTTCCTTACATCATCATAAGACACAGGAAAACCAGAAGTCAGTTATAGATGAAAATGGAGTCAATAAAAAAAATGTACATTTGTCACTAAACGAAGTATATTTAGCCAGATTTTTTTTCAGCTTCACTGAGGTAAGCTGAATTTGAACAAAAATATTTCAGTGATTTTAAAAGATACCAACTCAGACTCAAGTGCAGCATTGCTGGGTACATAGCTTATATAAGGCAGTACTAGTTGCTCATTTTGTTTGTGTTAAAATTTACTGAGATATTCTGAAATAATTTCTGTTATTTTTCAGTTCTATTTGTTTTCTGGACTAACACTGTTTAAATTTTCCTTAGGTAGCACAATTACTTCATGTTTGTTGTTTCTGTTGTTATACTAATAAACTAGCATTAGCATGCAGTTATTGTACAGAATAACAAGCATGAGAAGAGTCATGAATTGCCTAATTTCCTTTTTTTTCAGCATTTTTTTCACCACACTGTGGGTTGCATGATAGTTCTTATTTACAAGATTTTGTCAACAGAGTCAGCATAAAGTATCATGAAAATCGACTTCAAAAATAATAAATAAATAAATAAACAAATCCTCCTGTTTCCCTTAAAATCAACACACTTTCTGTATATTTAACCTTAAAATCAACAGTAATGGCACAAAATCTTAGAGCAAATGCTTTCTAGTGTGACAATTGAAATAAAATACTACAAGGCACTAATCAGGTAATTTTCTCCTTTTCTCTTTCCTCCTTCAAGACAAACCTCTTTATATAAAACATTCCAAAGTCCAAAGAGAAAGGAAGAAATAAACATTCAGACTTCAGACAACAGCATAAACTTTGTGTCAATGAACATATATATATATATATATATATATATATATATTTTTTTTTTACAGCAGCTCTTCTGAGTGATGTAAAATTTCATACATTAATTATAACTAAATAACATTCAACACATGCAAAACGATATGTGTACAAGTTGTTCAGTATTGATGTGTGTATGCATATATATTTGCACACACACATGTGCACGTGCTCATTTAAAAGAAATGTATGTCTTGCGAGTCACTCTTTGAGGCTGTTTTAATACTTGCAACATAAGAGTAACAGCTGAGTGAACTCAGATTGCTGATTTAGCAAGGAAAGCTGCAAATGAAATGAAATTTATCTCCTAGTTCTCACAGTGGCCTGCACAGTTATCAGTAAAAAATAGAGGATATGTAGTTTTATATCTACCTATAAACAAATAATATCAGCAATTTCTGCAGCCATTTATAGGTCTGTGGTGTTGATACATTTGAAGATTACTATATGTTCCTCAGCCCCGTCATTTGATTATGCAGTTTTTTATTAAATGAGTTCCTGGTAATGATATTAACTGTAGACTTACCCTGGCATTGGTCCATTTCCAGAAAGACTATAAACTTGACGAGGATTTAAAAGGTATTGAAATTTTCTATAAATTCTGAGGAGGAAAAAAAGACAGGGGAAAAAAAACCTTAAGATTTTTTTTTTTTTGTAAAAACAAAATAAAACAAACATACAAAACAACAACAACAACAACAAACTGTCAAAGAATTTAAAAAGTTAGCACATACTATAATGACCTGAATTACAGGATCTCATTAATACAAAAAGAAGATCAAATATTTGAACATGACAATTATAATAATTCACATCTACACTGCTTTGTGGACATAATATTGAGATGTAACTTCTACAAGCTTTTTACAATTTGAGTGCCTTACATAGAAGGAAAAATGTGGGACAGGGAGGCACAATAAGAAAAGGTGACTCAAAAAAATTATAAGAGCAGTTTTGTTACTATTAAATCTCATTCTAAAGGATTTATTTCAATAGCTAGCAGTGAATTTCATATTGCTAGCACACACAAAAAAGTATAATTAATTCCAAAAGCAAATTGGCTTGGTCATCTACCAAAAATGTCTCCATATATTGAACAACATTCTGAGAAAGCAAACCCGTTGTCAGCTACCATTAGACTCAGTTAATGGAAACTTACATTTCCTTTGGATTATTTTTAAATAGAATGAACATCAAAAAGATTGAAAACTAACATTTTAATTGAATTACACTCATTTGAAAAATCTCAATAATAGGAGGGAAATTATTGATTATGGTATGTAAAGTGTTATCCTATTCCAGAAGGAACTACTGGGAAGTGTTTCTTCATATGGTAGAATACTTCAAAAATTATAACCTCATGAATTTGAGGTTATTTGTCCTAAAAGTATAACAAATGTTTTGCATCATGATTACAAGCATTAGAAATGTAATTTTCTACATTCACTACAATGTCAAACCCCTATAATTTCTTATATAGAAATAAGATAAGACATGAAAGAGTTTGAACTCTGAATGACTGAATACATGACTGAATCTATGAAAATAGCTTGAATTTATAAAACCTTTATTCCTGCTTTTAATTGTAATGTTTATATCCTCAGGCTAATTGATATTTTAATGTTTTTAAGTATACATTTATTTTTCCACTAGCATATTTTCCTTTATTTTTAAATAACCTTTACTACTGCTTTAAATAAAATAGATGCATAGTAAGAATTGAATTGTCTTAACTTACATTTCCACATGGTTTCAAATTCAGCAAAATTAAACTGTCTAGACACTATCCATGTGCATATTGAGAGATTTTTTTCTAAATAGAAATACATAATTTATCAAGCTAGATGGAAGAAGAGGGTATAAGGATACTGAATACAAACAAATTTATAATTATCTGTAAAATTGCTAAATTGGAATTTTTTCTTAACTTATCAATTATTTAGTGACATTAGCTTCTTTATAAAGCATTATATTCAAACATACACACACAGTCTATTCCTGATGCCGCTCATGACAGAAAATGTCAATATGAAATGACTGGCTTCTCTTTGCAAGCAAGCACATTTTTGTCAACTGTTGTGATTATGACTAAATCAGACATTTGTCAGTAGATTTACAACACTACATTTTCATTTCATATTCAATATTTCACTGATGCAAAGGGATCGTATTTTTAATTTTCTGCTTGGTATGTGTAAGTTACCTGTCAGTGACAGTAGTTGTTTCTTAGTGACAGTGATGCCATTTAACCTGGTCAAAAGTTCAGTAACTTTAACCTGTGTAACCTGAGGGAGTTCCTAAACAAGATTGCCATGAAAGCCTAAAGGTTTAACCGCTTGCTGCCTGAAACCAAACAGTTGCTGGATATCAGTGAAATAGTGTAAAAACCTTTTTAATAAAAAAGGAGCTGCATATCTCTAGCCAAAGTCTAGAAGTCCACCAGCAATAATGAACAGATGACACTGAATCCTATGATATCAGCTGAATTCAATGCATTCACAGACAGTGGTTGAACATCAGTAGTACCAGCAGAATCATGCTATAATGACTCATTGCAAATGACACATCATGCTTTAAATTACTATAACACATATTTCTGTACACTAGTGAGTGTAAAATTCATAACTTAAAGATGATTCATTTCAGTTCAAGCATTCATCAAGAACGAGAAAGTGCCTAAGTTTGCCTTCAGACTGAGCTGTAGGCAGTTCAGATACTGTCAGGGGCGCATTCAAGACTAGGAAATGGACAGTAATTCAGACTTTCCAGTCTTATATGTACAATACTGAATAGCCTAAAAATACTGACATGTTTTGCGGAAAAAAAAAAAAAAAGAAAAAAAAAATGCTTGCTTCTGTTTGCAAGGAAGGGTTCAGATTCGGCTTCCTCGTGACTGGCGATTTGTGCAGACAAAGCAACGCGGTAACGTAGCGGGTAATGCCAAATAAGAGAGCTCTTTGTGACCGAGCGTGACTCCATGAACAAAGCCAGCGTATGAAATCACCACTTGTCCCCACCCAGCTGGTACCTACGCTGTAACACAGTTTACCAGCATCCAGTTATGCTTATGTAATTGTTCACTAGGCTATTCTCTGATCGAGATAATTCCACAGATTCAACTTAAAACACAAATGGTCAGGGAAGTTTCTCTGCTGTCATTTCTTCCCCTCACTTACATCATGCTCAGGATATGATATGCAGTGGAAAACCCAAAACAGCTGTGCTAGGATAACTGAGGAGGCATGAAATTAGAGCAGAAAGGTCCAAGAGGGCTGGGATCTTTTGCAAGCAGCTCTCCCGACCGTATGTGACTGCTTGGTCTGAGATAGACCAAGCTATCTTTCAAAGTCATAAGATCCTGCTTTAGAAAGTTAGGAGACATAGAGGAACAGAAACCTGTTGGTACTCCAAAACTGGCAGGAAATCACCGGGGGAAAAGCTGTCCACAGCAGTGCTGCCTGCAACATAGGGAATGCATCATTTCAAGAATCTTAGAGATGATCTAAGATGGGGGGATTTTAGGCTTAGTTCATCAATAGCGATAAGCAATAGTATTCACCCTCCCATATAAAATAATGTTAATAGTCTTTTCCCCATGATATATGGCATTATAGAAAAAAATCTTTAATCACTCCTATATTTTGTCTCTATGCTGGGAGCTTAGAAATCAAGTATTATGATAAGGTGGGATGGAAGAGCTACTTTGAAACAAAGTTCTCTGAAAACAACAAAGGTCAAAGATATCA